AATAGTGAAAATCAGGGTTAGATCCCTGCACTTAGCATATCAAAAATAGCTAATAGTGTAACTTTGCACATAAATCAAACAAACAAACGTTTTTATGACCACTTCTCTTGGTAAACCTTCTTTAGATGTGATTAGGATGTTGATAGTTTTTTTCTTGGTAAACCTTCTTTAGATGTGATTAGGGTGGGGATGGTTCTTCTCTTGGTAAACCTTCTTTAGATGTGATTAGGATGTTGATAGTTTTTTTCTTGGTAAACCTTCTTTAGTGTAATTGGGATGGGGATGGTTCTTCTCTTGGTAAACCTTCTTTAGATTTGATTAGGATGTTGATAGTTTTTTTCTTGGTAAACTTTCTTTAGTGTAATTGGGATGGGGATAGTTCTTCTCATGGTAAACCTTCTTTAGATCTGATTAGTATGGGGATAGCTCTTCTCTTGGTAAACCTTCTTTAGATGTGATTAGGATGGTGATAGCTCTTGTCTTGGTAAACCATCTTTAGATCTGATTAGTGTGGGGATAGCTCTTCTCTTAGTAAACCTTCTTTAGATGTGATTAGGATGGTGATAGCTCTTGTCTTGGTAAACCATCTTTAGTGTAATTAGGATGGGGATAGTTCTTCTCTTAGTAAACTTTCTTTAGTGTAATTAGGATGGTGATAGCTCTTCTCTTGGTAAACCATCTTTAGTGTAATTAGGATGGGGATAGTTCTTCTTTTGTTAAGCCTCCTTTAGTGTTTGTGTGATAATAATTCTCGCACCTAAATGTGTGGAGCCTGTTACCTGTTATGGATTGTGAATAACACTGTCGTTGCCAAGAGACGTTTAAACATAGACCTGTTCTGTGTTTACCCGGTAGGAGATGCTCGTGTGAACGAACTTCCAAGCCTTACTGCTATGCATACTGTATGGCTTCGTCAGCACAACCGCCTGGCCAATCATCTGGCATTATATAATCCTCACTGGGACGATGAGAAGGTGTACCAGGTATTTATACAACCTGTTCTTCATATGTTGTTTTATTGGTCAATTAAATAACTCATTTCAATAGTATTAAAAAGACCGATTAAACTCTAGTATTTTTTGTTGTTGTTTTGACAAATGTACCTGTCGGAAGCACTAACCTTTTGTACACCACGAGCCACAATTTAAACGTTGTTGACTCACTGGTCTACGCGGCTTGTCTGCAACGTTGAGTCACCGGCCTACGTGTTATCAGTTCTTGTGGAACACCGCGTAAACCTAACTCAAGAGCGTGACAGTGCAACTCGAGCGTGTAATGTCTAGTTGTTGGTTTTCCCTGAAGTATGATTTAATTCTTATATATATTAATAAGTCATTCTTTTACTTGGTTCGCGAGAAACAAGTTGCACGAGAGCAACGCTGTACTTGTGTTTCCTCACTTTCTTTTATTGCATTTTTGCCAAACCTTTTTTTGTTACTACGTGTTTTTTTTTTTAATATCACACCTCTCAACTGTGTGTTTTATGTTATCATTATTTTTTTTGTAAAAGCAAGCTACCTACATAGATCAGATTTAAAAATAAATATAACTAATTTAATGTTCCGTTATCATTTATATTTATCAGAACGAATTGATTCACCTCTTTAGTACCATTGCTGTCAGCTACATTTTCGGCCGTTATTCCAATAATGTTTCACGAAGTTCGACCTGTGTAGGAGATTCGACTTAATCCAAAACAATATACTAAGTTAACATTTCAGAAACCTCTTCATAATAAAAACTAAAAATATATAATCTATACATATTTAACACAAAATTAGTTGTTCGCTTCATGCACCAGCACTGATATCGTGGCAGCATTATATGTAAACAATATAATCCTCCCGAACTTTGTAAATAAGCTTTGATTGGAAGTCAAAATTTATTAACCAATAAAAGCGCAGTAAATGGTTTGAATATTGTAACATTAGATCTCAAGTAAATAAGTAAGACATGTTTATGTTTCACTATAGAGTCAGATAGCAGGACAGCGAAACAACTTACGTTTATGAAAATAAAATATTAAATGAATTAAGAAAATCGTATAATAAATACTACAAGTTATTAAATGAAAGAAGTTAAATGTAACAAAAAGAAAAATAATTTACTAAACATACTATTGGCTGCGTCTGAAAGAAGTATTGGTATTTTTTACTGACTGGTCTTTGTTATTTTTAAAATTAAATAGAAAAGTTCACGCTTCCGAACATACTAGATACATGATGAAGCTAACCGTTGGTTTCCAGGTGCACTGAACGTAAGTTGTTGTGTATAGTTTAATAAAGGCTTAATGACTTTAATCTGTGTAATCAAATGATGTTTGTTCTGAAACGCTGATTTTTTTTTTTTATGTGATTCAGGAATCTCGTCGCATCGTGGGCGCCATGACACAGCACATCACGTACAATGAGTTCTTGCCCGTGGTGTTGGGAGAACTAGTCATGAAAGTGTACGGTTTAACCCTAAAACCACGTGGCCATTACACCAAGTATGACCCTACCGTGAATGCTGGAGTGGCCAATGCCTTCGCTACAGCGGCCTTTCGCTTTGGCCACAGCCTCGTACCAGGAAGATTTCTCCGCTACTCCAAGGACACAGCCCCATAACTTCTGGTAATCTGTTTACATACTTACGTTTGTATTACAAGTTTTGTAATGTAAGAAGAAGAAAAAACAAAAAACATATAAAGGTTTTCATCTTTTTTTTCGTTTTTGTCATTTTAAGGCGTACTGTGAAGAAGTTTCAAAACAAAACTGTTTCGATAATTCACTGTATAGATCCCGTAGCGCATGACTTAAGTGTAACCAGTTGACCACCAGAAGTTACTACGAATTTTTACAATTATTCACTCAGTTTCGTACATATCATAGTAAACAGTGGACTTATACCGCATTGCCCTTGATGGGAATGTATAAAAAATTATACTAATTAGCAGGATAATAATGGCTGGAGACGGCTT